CATTTGGTATAGTGGCTAGATACTACTTAGGACATTTGCCACCTAATGCTGGAGTGTCTGGATTCAATTCCTGGGTCTGCTTCCAAGTCCAGTTCATGCTAACATGTACAATGAAAGACATATGTGGTCCAAAGACTTGAATTCCTGCCATTCATGGTGGGAACCTTGAATGAGTTCCTGCCTTCTGGCTTCAACTTGGATCATCCCTGTCTGTTGTGGGCATCTGGAAGTAAATAAGTGGGCAGAAGATGTAGATCTCTCTGTATGTCTCTCTGGTTTTCAACTACAAATACACAAACTTTCAACTACAAAAAACTAAAAAGTTATACTTGGCTCCTTACTTTGCATCAAACTCTACATGTATCCTGTTTTTCCTTTGGCTATGACTATTGTAAAGCTTGGTCTAAATTTGATTGTGTGTTGTATTGTTATAAATTATTTTGTCCCGTAATGATTATTTCTGTTTGGAGCTTATTCCCCATTGTATAAAATTCTTCTATTTAAAATATGTTAATTTTTATCAATAGAAGAACAACTTACAGATGCAGAGAATCTTTGTAAGAGATAGTTTTGGTTAGGTTGAACTTCTCAAATTTCTATTTTGTCTCATCCCTCTTGAAACTTTATCAAAAAAAGAAACTTTATCAAAAAATTGAAGTCTTGGGCCATAAATTGTAAGTCCTAAATAACAGACTTGAATCATTCTCTCTGGATGCATTTTCAATTATGCATGCTATATGCATGTTTATATTTGTGAAAATCTGTGTTTTGTTTGCAAAAAAATAAATAAAGAAATTGTAATGCCCTCATTTTTCTGTCCTAAACTTGGTTCACATGAAGTCTAGATATGTCAGGGTCTCATTTTGTCTGTACATGATAAAGCTTTGTCTCCCCAGGAGAGAGATTATACTCTTTGCTGTAATGAAAACTCTAAGTCCTGTTGTTTTAATTCCTACTCCCATATTTCCTCTAATAGAAGAGGGAAAAGGTTCTGGGGCTAAATTCTGGGATCCGTTATCATATCTGTCTCCTTACACAGCTTAAAATGGGGCCCAGAATGAGCATCATGGGGAGAGGAGACAAGGAAAGAGGGGTTTAAAAATATGGAAAGGCTGAACGTACCGCACATCCTGATTTATGAACAAAATTGAAAAAAGCAAAAATGTAAAAAAAATAATGTAGAAAACGTTCTTATTCTGCTTAAACAGATGACATATATTATGCATCTACCTCAGGAAGTCCCAATGTTTCAGGGAGATGTTGTCTTAGTAAGCTTCCTTTATAAGTATTGAAGTCAGAAACTTCAAGAAAGAAATGAAGCCAATTTCAAAAAACCCACTTAGTCTGACAAAACATTTAGATCAATTCTTGCAACTCAGCTACTATACCTGGGTTGCAGTGATGCCTTTAATGAACATATTATCTGCAAGAGAGAAAAATGGGATGATCGGGAGGGAGGCTATGAAAATTTGGGAAAGAGAAGACATTGCTGGACTGTGAATCTCCTCACCTAAGGACAACATCCCAAAGATCATTAATGTGATAATTCCCCAGAGTAAAATTGTAAGGCGTAAGGGAGGTAATGATGAAAAAAATTTTAAAAAATCAACCTTGAGATCACAAAATGCATCAAAGACATTTGAACTTCAACATCAAAAGAAAGAGAAAAATCCCTCTGCATTCTTACAAAGGCTTAGAGATCAAATAAGAAAATATGCTGGGCTCAGCCCTGAGAGTCAGCTGAGACAATGTTTTTTAAATTAGATATGTCAAAATTAAAGTTAGCCACATAGACACACAGAAGCTCAAAAAATCTTTGTGTGAAGGAAGGAGGATTAAAAAATAGCATATGGAAAAATTCATATCCACAGTGGAAAAAATAATACACAAAATGTTAAAAACAAGGCCTCTTCAAAGAGACATGAAAGCTCACTGGGGCCAGCAAACTACAAAGAGGGAAGGAGTGACTCTAAAGCCAGTGAAAGCTATTAGAGCCACGGCATTTTACCACTGTGGAAAGCCAGGGCATTTCCAAAAAATGTTCAGAGTTAGAAAAATGAAGATAATTCACCTCTTGATCTTTGATGAGGACTGGGGTGGTGGTAGTCAGTGATTCCTTTTTGAGAGGTCCTTCCTGGAGCACTTAATATATCTAGAGTTGGAACAAAAAGAGGAGGATTAAATATTCCTTGTGGATTCCAGGTCAGCCTAGTTCTCCCTTGCTTGCCAAACATAGGATATAAAATTATACAAAGAAAAATTAAAAATGTCTGGGGTAAATAAGGATGACTTTCAGGTCCTATTTTTTTTTTAGTTTTAATAATTTTTATAATAGGGAACAAATTTCATGTAATCTTATGTACAGATTCAGGAGCATACTGATAATTCCCACCATAATATCCACCCTACCCAAGCTCCCACTCTCTCTCCTACATTCTTTCTTATTCTTTTTTTAATTTTTACTATGACATACATTCCATTTATTTTAAAATCATAAGCTTATCCCTCCACTAAATATTCAACAAATGTAAGAAAAAATGTTGCTTTTGAAAGAAAAAGTTAAATTAGGTACAGGAGAAATGTGAAGTTCCTTCCTATGTATTCCAGAGGTGGGAACCAATCACTTCAGCAAATCTAATTATTAAAATTAGGACAGATACTCACAGTAAATAATGGGCAGCTATGAGTCCTAAAATTTCCAGAGAGAACAACAACAACATCATATTGACTCTTCAGTATGGGCAAAAGAGGGAAGTAAAGAAAGGTTAAAATTATGCCTCTAAAAATTAAGCTGAAACAGCTTTACTAGTAAAGAAATCTGATGTGTTTTATAGATTATTACAGGAATTAAGAGCTATCTACTAAATTGCACAGGCTTGTCACACTGGTTTACAATTCCTATACCATTCTCAGTAAAATTCCCCATGACCACACAAGTTTAGTGATGCTGACTTAAAATGTGATTTCTAGATCTGGCCACCAGACACAGAAAGCAGAAACCACTTTGCCTATCAGTGGAAAATCCGAACGGGGGAAGAAAACAAAATAGGTGGACTGCATTGCTTCAATGATTGACTGAAACACCCAAATTATTTGGTCAAAGCCCTGGCCTGAAGAGCCAATGTCCCATATGAGTGCTGGTTCTAGTCCCAGCTGCTCCTCTTCTAATCCAGCTCTCTACTATGGCCTGGGAAAGTGGTAGAAGATGGCCCAAGTGCTTTGGCCCCTGCACCCACATGGAGACTCAGATGAAGCTCCCAGCTCCTGACTTTGGATTGGTGCAGCTCTGGCTGTTGCAGCCATCTGGGGATTTAACCAGCGGATGGAAGACCTCTCTCTGTTTTTACCTCTCTCTGTAACTCTATCTTTCAAAAAAAAATCTAAACCAAAGAGATAAATATAATTGACTAATTCCAGAATTTAAAATAGGAGGTCATTCTTTTGGAAAAGATTAATTTAACAATCAATGCTGTACAAACCTAGCTGAATTTTATAAAAGGTGGGAGCCTGTAAAACAATACCTGATCATAACTGTTAAGGTATTGTAGAGTATGAAAGCAGATATGAGAGATGGTCCTTTACATGAGGGGATGTGGCTCTCTGTGATGGTTAAACTTGAGTCATGGAGGGGAAATATAATGATTATGCAATTATGGATGGTAATAGTCATTCAATATGTGAAAATGACAGATTACCTATAAACCTATCTGCTCAGACCTCTGAGTTGTATACCCTCAATCACACTCTAAAACTTCTTGAGGGCCAAGAGGGGATGTTTACATAGACTCCAGGAATGCTTATGAAGTGGTACAAATTTTTGGAAAAATCTGGACAGAAGGGGTCTTATAAATGGAAATGAAAATGAAAATTGAAAATAACTGTTTCAGAAGATTTTCACAGATATTCAAGTCTCTTGCTTCCCACTGAAATACCTAATTATCATGTAAATTGTCACTAAAAATTAAAGCCATATATATATATATATACACACACACACATATATGTAAAGTTCTTAACATACTTATTAGAATATAGCAATAACTCAACAAATTCTTTCTAAATGAATAAATTAGACCTTGTACTGATCTGATGTACCAAACTAGTATTTTTATTTTTTCCCATTGTATTAATTATTCATGTTCTTCATAAGATATCAGAATAATACCTGAAAGAGTAAAAAATTATCTGGAATCTCACTACCATGAGAAACTCTTATTTGTTGGTATCTCCTTTAATACTGACTGCAGAGCATAACACAGGTGAGCCCAGTCAATGGTGTTAAATTTCAGCACTGCCACATACTCAGATTGCCCAAGTGATAATAGAATTCCCAGGTCTTATTTTTCTCATCTATAGAGTGGAGATAACAATGGAACCAATGTCAAATAGTTATTATGCGATTAAACAAGTGAATATTTACAAAACAGCTAAAGTAATTTTTGAAATGTTATACGCATTACATAAATAATGTATTAGATCTTATGAAAATTTGTGCACTCTTCACTCATCTGAATGCTCACTCCAATGTTAACCAATGTTAGCATCTATTGTGGGTCCTTATGTGCTTTTTTCTTTATCCATATAATCACATATGGTTGCTGGTTATTATTATTATAGAACCATGATCATATACACACTAATCTAGAGAACATTTATTTTATTAGTTTTAGAGCCTGTTCTGTCAAGTTAATTGCTTTCTTTTTTTAACTTTTATTTAATAAATATAAATTTCCAAAGTACAGTTTTTGGATTACAGTGGCTCACCCCCCAAAAACTTCCCTCCCACCCACAACCCTCCCATCTCCTGCTCCCTCTCCAATTCCATTCATATCAAGATTCATTTTCAATTAACTATATGTACAGAAGATCAAAGTTAATTGCTTTGAACAAGTGACTACTTTATTCCAAGGAAGAAAAATAAATCATTTTATTGAGCCATACCTGACTAAAGGCCATTTTCTCGGTTTGTTGGAAATTTCTGAAAATTAAAATAGCATATCAGGAAGACAGGAGAAACAAAACTGACTAATTATGCTCCCAAACTTGAGGGAACTTTAGGGGCTGAGCTACAGATTTGACACACGCAGTGGAGGCTTCATTTTGAGATAAGTAACTATCTGAAATCACCCAGCAGTTGATAAATGACCTAATTTAATTTTCCTGTAGAAGAATGGCTGCTGATTTGTCTACCTGTTCTATAGGTATGTCACTGTATGTATTACAAAGCAGTGGGGTAAGCATGAAACTATTAGTTAATAATGAAAATCACTTCTCTGAAGAGCCCTGACTTACCCATCTTACTAGCCCACCTGGCACATTACCTGGGTTTCACCACTTCATGAGTGGTTAATGTGAGACACGAATCAATAAGTCAATTAAGAATCATGACTGGGCTTCCAGAGAACAGGGATCAGGATCAATAATTTTTATTTAGTATACATTAGGTAAAGATTTCAACAGTTTGCACCCCCATAGAAACACAAAGGGAAATATACTGTTTGAGTACTCGTTAGAGCATTAAATCTCAATGTACAGCACATTAAGGACAGAGATCCTACATGAGGAGTAAGTGCACAGTGATTCCTGTTGTTGACTTTAGAAATTGACACTCCTGTTTATGGCATCAGTAATCTCCCTATGCACCAGTCATGAGTTTCCATGGCTATGGAAGCCCCTTGAGTTCTCTGACTCTTATCTTGTTTAGACAAGGTCATATTCAAAGTGGAGGCTCTCTCCTCCCTTCAGAGAAAGGTACCTCCTTCTTTGAAGACCTGTTCTTTCCACTGGGATCTCACTCACAGAGATCTTTCATTTAGTTTTTTTTTAAACTTTTATTTAATGAATATAAATTTCCAAAGTACGGCTTATGGATTACAATGGCTTCCCCCCCATAACATCTCTCCCACCCGCATCCCTCCCCTTTCCCACTACCTCTCCCCTTCCATTCACATGAGGATTCATTTTCAATTCTCTTTATATACAGGAGATCAGTTTAGCATACATTAAGTAAAGATTTCAACAGTTAGCTCCCACACAAACATAAAGTGAAAAATAATAGATGATTTTTTAAATGATGATGAAATCAGATCAGACCTATTGTCATGTTTAATCCCAGCGAGAGTCAAGTTGGGAATTAATAATTTCTTTTTTTTTTTTTTTTACAGAAGATCAGTTTAGTATACATTAAGTAAAGATTTCAACAGTTTGCACCCCCATAGAAACACAAAGCGAAATATACTGTTTGAGTACTCACTGTAGCATTAAGCTTCAATGTACAGCACATTAAGGACAGAGATCCTACATGAGGAGTAAGTTCACAGTGACTCCTGTTGTTGACTTTAGAAATTGACACTCCTGTTTATGGCATCAGTAATCTCCCTATGCACCAGTCATGAGTTTCCAAGGCTATGGAAGCCCCTTGAGTTCTCCGACTCTTATCTTGTTTAGACAAGGTCATATTCAAAGTGGAGGTTCTATCCTCCCTTCAGAGAAAGGTACCTCCTTCTTTGAAGACCTGTTCTTTCCACTGGGATCTCACTCACAGAGATCTTTCATTTAGGTGTTTTTTTTTTTTTTTTTTTTTTTTTTTTTTTTTTTTTTTTTTTTTTTTCAAGGGTGTCTTGGCTTTCCATGCCTGAAATACTCTCATGGGCTTTTCAGCCAGATCCGAATGCCTTTAGGGCTGATTCTGAGGCCAGAGTGCTGTTTAGGACATCTTCCATTCTATGAGTCTGCTGAGTATCTCGCTTCCCATGTTGGATCACTCTCCCCTTTATTTATTCTATCGGTTAATATTAGCAGGTACTACATTGTTTATGAGCTCCCTTTGACTATTAGCCCTTTCATTATGATCAATTGTGAACAGAAATTGATCACTTGGACTAGTGAGATGGCATTGGTACATGCCACCTTGATGGGATTAAATTGGAGTCCCCTGGTATGCTTCTAACTCTACCATTTGGGGCAAGTCAGCTTGAGCATGTCCCAAATCGTACATCTCTTCCCTCTCTTATCCCCACTCTTATGTTTAACAGGGATCACATTTCAGTTAAATTTCAACACTTAAGAATAACTGTGGATTAATTACAGAATTAAACCAGTCATATTAAGTAGAACAGACAAAAAAAAACTACTAAGAGGGATAATGTATTAAGTTGTTCATTAACAATCTGGGCTATGCTGATCAAGTCACTGTTTCTTATAGTGTCGATTTCACTTCAACAGGTTTTCTTTTTGGTGTTCAGTCAGTTGTCACCGATCAGGGAGAACATATGGTATTTGTCCCTTTGGGACTGTCTTATTTCACTCAGCATGATGTGTTCCAGATTCCTCCATTTTTTTGCAAATGACTGGATTTCATTGTTTCTTACTGCGGTATAGTATTCTAAAGAGTACATACCCCATGTAGTCAAGTATTTCCATCTGGCATCATTTTCCTCCTCTGGAAGAAACTTTTGAACATTTCCTGAAGTGCAGCTCTGATGGAGATTAGTTATTTAGGTTTGTATTATGTCTCAAACTGTTTCTGTTTTGCATTTGTCTTGAAAATAATTTTTGTATGATTTATTTATTTTAAATGCAGAGCTACATACAGATAGGAATGGAGGGAGGAGAAAGAGAGAGAGAGAGAAAATCTTTAAGCTGCTGGCTCAGTCCCCAAATGTACCTGGATAGATTAACTTGGGATCGTGTTTTTTGATTAAAAGTTTTCTCAGTTACTATTTGAAACTAACTATACCTTTTTTCTTAAATTTAAATAGGTATTCAAAATTCATTTCAAATAATTGAATACTTCCAAAGGAATCCTGAATATGAAGAATGACAAGAAGGTACTGTGTTACTGTAAGAGGTATTAGAACACTGATTATTTAAACATTTTTAAAAAAGTATTAGAGAGAGAGAGACAGAAAGTTGACAGTGAGGGCTCTTCTATTTTCTCATTCATTTCCCCAAATACCAGCAACAACTGAGACACAGCCAGGACAAAACTGCCATGGTCCAGCCGTGGCAGGTCCAAGGAGGGGGGGTGCCAGTGAAGAGACAAGATAAGGAGATGAGATTTAATTAGCAAGGGGAGGCATCATTCTGCTGTTCCTTCTCACAGCTTTACCTTATACTCTTTTTACACATATTCTTCATTTAGCCTTCTTCCTTCTAAGCCTCTATTCTTTCAGAGAAAGAGCACATCACAAGTGAATGTCTATGCATAACCTTTCTCTATTAATCATGTTTTGTTTCATTTTCCTTTCATGGCCTCATCATAACCTTCCCATTAATCTTTCCTCTATGCATAGTGAATGCCTCAGCTATATGAAACTTGCTTATCTTATCTAAAGTTGCTAGACAAAAAGTCTAAGATTTTTAAGGTTAATGGATTTATTTTAAAATGTTTCTTACAGGACCTATTGCATTGCCTAATGTTAAAAGTTCCTTGTTCCTTTGTTCTATATTTCCAAGCAGGGGCATAACATCTAACCTTTGTAAGAATGTCAGTGCTTGTACATCAGTCCACTTGCCGTAGTATTAACTATGTACTTACCAGTTTCATCATACACTCCTGTGTAAGGCAAGGGAGGGTCTGTGAGAACAAGCACCTGCATGCTCTTTCTATTTTCTCATAAAACTCATTATACATGTTCCTAATAACATTTTTCTCTATACAGTTTTTAGGACATTCCCCTCTCATTTCTCCAGTCACCTCCTGTATTCATTTTTTTACAAGAAACAATTTTGCTTAGCATTGATATTCATGATCCCCACACCCAAACCCAATAACTACATCATTCAGACTATTAAACACAGCAGAGAATGGCTTCAGTTTAGTCATTGACTTCTTGCTTTGCAGAGTTCCCCCTCTTCTGGCTGCAACTTTGTTACACAGCATGGATGACAACGCCTTCACCACAAAACTAGGAGCCTAAACTGAATACCAGAAAACTATTAGTACTATATTTGACATGGGCAATGTCAGTAGCCTCCTAACATGTATTCCAAGCAGGTTGTTCTAAGGCAGACAGCAGGGAATGGAAGTGTTTGCAGGGAGGAGGTGGCTGGGGTTGCAAGGCAGAGGTGGTGATATAAGGGTCCTCTCAAATCTAGAGCCAGAACCCCATGCAGGATGCTGGACAAGATCTGCCGGGCCTCCTGGTTCAGTGAAGTGAGCCAACCTGTTCTGGTGGGGACAGATGGCACCTGCAGAACCAGAGGATTTGATCTCTGCTGGGAGTTCAGGGTGGACAGTTGTACAGGTGCAGCAGGAACAAATGTTGGGAATTCAGGGATGCATGAAACCCTGTAGAACCACCTGTGTGAGTTCCATTTCCTTCCTTGTGGGGAGTGGAAAGTCTCAGTATCTCAGGTGGGCCTGCAGCTCCCCCTGGAGGCTCTGCCCCAATGACTCCAGCCCTCTGCTCCTGCACTGGTGCCAGCATGTAACAGGGGGCTCAGGTGGTGAGCTTGGAAAAATACTTCATGCAGCAGGAGACACCATGTGGGGATGGGTTTGGCTGCCTGGCCTGCAAGCTGACCTGGCCTCTTCTGGTCTTCCCCATGTTCCAAACATACCAGGCCAGAACAGCCACACCCTGAAGGCAGCTGGACACAGGGTGCCTGGGTGCCTGACTATACCAAGTCACCCCTGTAGGTAGAGAGCTGCTAATCACTGTAGTTCTCCCATCCACTTAGGGCCTTGTCTAGCCTCACATGGGAATCATGTGTGCCCAGGCTGAGCATGGTACTATCTCCCTGGAACCACCATCACAAGTGGTCTGACCTCACTGGTGATGATAGGCAGCATGGCTGTCATGGACACACACCTGGTGGAACAGAACCAGAGGCAGTCAAGATCAGCAAGTGCAACCCTGTGCTGGGTGGGTGACTTGAGCTTCCTCCTGGCACTGAGCTAGGTGGCCATGAGGGCACCACGATGCACAGAGCCAAGCATGGCTATGCCGTGATGCTGTGGTTTCTGTACATCTTCATGCTGGAGATCAGGTTCTGGTTCACCTTCTAGAACTACAGGTCCACATAGGGCAGGGTGGCCTGGCTGACACAGGTGAGCAAGGGCCTGCTTCTGCTGCCATTCTGCATGCCCAGCCTCTTCCTGCTGCTTGTGGCTTAAAATACCAGTTTAAAAACTACTAGTGGTGAAGACAAACTGCTAAATCGTACTCTTCTTAAAGCACCAGGGAAACAGCTTGTACCCCTGCATTGGGGTGGCATAGCTGAAATGTGGAGCTGTACTAGAAGTGAGAATGACCCAGCTCAGTCTGCAAGGCATAGTCTCATTCTTTTGTAGCTCAGTTATCAGAAGGAACTGAAGAAGAGAATGCACAATCACAAAAGGCTGAAAATACTGGGAATTATAATAGAAAAATGAATAATGTATGGCCATTTTTATTTTGTAATAATTCATTTGTTAAATTTATATACAATTCTGATAATGTTGTTAAGTGAATGTAATTGTACTGCAGAAAGTTAAAAGCTTAACATCAAAGTTTTTTTATTTTTAAATCCTTGCTGCAGAGATGGCTGGCTTTGTTGTGCAGTGGGTTAAGTCACCTCCTGTGATATAGGCATCATGTATGTGCTTTTATTTTAGAGTCCTGGCTCCCCTACTTCTACTCAAACTCTCTGGTAATATGTATGGGAGAGTAGCAGAGGATGGCCCCAGTCCTCGGGCCCCTGCATCCATGTGGAACACTCAGAAGAAACTCCAGGCTCCTGGCTTCAGGCTGGCCTAGCCCTGGCTGATGTGACCATTTGAAGAGTGAACCTGCTGATGGAAGATCTCTCTCTCTCTCTCTCTCTGAAATTCTGAATTTCAAA